TGTGTGCAGTTTTGGGTGCCATAATGTAAGAAAGATATTAAGCTATTAGAGAACATCCAAAGGAGGGCAACAAAGATGGTTAAGGGTCTTGAGGGGAAGCTGTATGAGAGGAGTGGTTGAGGTGACTTGGTCTGTTCAGCCTGGAGAAGAGGAGACTGAGGTGAGACCTCATCGCAGTCTACAACTTCCTTGTGAGGGGAAGAGGAGGGGCAGACACTGATCTCTTCACTCTTATGACCAGTGACAGGACTTAAGGAAATGGCATGATGCTGGGTCAGGGGAGGTTTAGGTTGGATATCAGGAAAAGGTTTTTCACCCAGAGGGTGGTTGAGAACTAGAACAGACTCTCCAGGGAAGTGGTCACAGCACTAACCTTGACAGAGTTCAAGAAGCGTTCGGACAGTGCTTTCAGGCACATGGTGTGATTCTTGGAGTGTCCTGCATAGGACCAGGAGTTGGACTTGATGATCCTGATGGGTCCCTTCCAACTCAGCATATTCTATGATGATGACGATGATGATTATTATTTTTTATAATTTTCTGTAAGAGGTTGAAGGACTGTTGTAAAAAACATTCTTTACATTCAGTTTACATTCAGTCTCATTTCAATCTTAAGTACTTTTCACTTGTGCTAAATGTGATTTGATATGGATGAAACAAATTGTGTCTGACACAGAAGACTTCAAAGCTTTTGACTCTATAATCTCAAGACGTTTAGATAATTATGTATTTTTCCTCAAATAAAAATACTCCTCTGCTCATTTTGGCAAATATTTATTCATCTCCTCTTTTTTAATTGGCAATTAAATGAACAGAGCATTACTTCTTTATCAAATAAATACTTACTTTAGAAATTAAGGGTATAATTTGAAAATAAAATGTAATCTTTGAGTTGAACAGATTGCTGATATTCAACAACTATTCATTATCTATTTTCACTTTGTGTCTTGGCTGTTTAAAAGGATTTAAGAATATATTCCTAAACTCAGCGTTAGATGCAGGAGTTACATTTTCTGGTTGGAAAGTTAAGTTCTTGAACAGACCTTACAATAGGCTCAAGTGAGCTAAAAATAAACTTTGAGCAGTTCATATTAACTGAGTAATAACAAGCAACAGCAAAAAGCAGTATCCAGCTATGATGAAAACAGGAAGTACATTACACAAGCTGCCCTTTCCAGATAGGTATGAATTCTTAAAGGCTTAACTAAAATAATAATCCCTCAAAGTTTTTAATAAAAGCAGAGAGCTGCCTATTGTTCATAACTCAGTGGAGACGAAAAACATGCACCCCAGTACATTGTGAAAGATCTGCTGCGTCTGGGAAACAACACTCTTTCCATTTAGTTATTGGTAACCCTGATTTCAATTTTAAGTGGATTTGATCCTGCAAAGGGCTGAGCATCTGAGCCTTATCCAGCAAAGCTGCATAATGCTGTTAAGCCTGGGAGAGTTGAGAGATGGAAAGGCAGAAGTTGCCTCTGATCGACTGGGGTGAGAAGTGAGTACTGAGCTCTTGTCATTGATGCTGAAGTTATCTGTGCTCCAGCATCTTCCAGGAAACCATGTTCCCCCTCTGAAGCAGTAGCATCCTCTCCACCTTTTCTTGGCAGGCAGAGGTGGCAACAGGCTCCTTTCCTTAGAAGTGATGAGTGAAGCACTAGCTACATCTGGACCACTCCTAGAGAGGTTTTGGTACAGACATACTACTCATTTTATTTCTGTGGTCAAAGGCAGGCAAAAGAAAGAACGCACCTGCTGCCATGCTGAGGTATCTAGAGATCTGAATTTTCTCAGCCCCTTTTTCTTGCAAGGTATGGAAAAGTAGTAGTGTGCACAACCAAATATCTGGTGCATAGAGATTCCTGTTGTCTTCTGTTTAACACTGTTTCGAGTACTCGTGTAGGGTGTTTTGGATGCAGGACCATCTTATCTGCATTTTTGTGGGCTAACAATTTTCTGGTGTGTTAATGGGACAAACTACAGACTATTAAGCATGCTGTGTTTCAGAAGTGCCCCTTGCTTGAGTCAGGACCCAGGCAGATGGCAGTGATAGAGGTTGTTGCCTGCCCAAAAAAGAGGATACCTCAGTCTAGGTATGGCCTTTCTTCTGTCCTGTAGTGCTGGCTAATCCCTGTAGCCCCTTTGCCACTGCTGTCCCTGCACCACTGGGATGCGTCTGTGGGGAAGCTCTTACCCACCTTTCAGGACACCACCCTTCCACACTGTGGCTCTACCTCAGTAATAAGCCTCTAATAGGAACCCGTGTAATCCATGGTAAACATGATACAACACAACTCTCTCTCGCCCCGTGTGTTCAGGATGCATTTGCGTGACAAAAGACATATCACTGTGCATTTCTCTTGCCAAACAAAATCATGATAGACTTTTAGGTTTGCTCTGATTCAGGCGTTTTTTATTTAATGCTGCCCATTCAATAAAACGACCTCTGAAATGAAGATGTTTGAAAGTCAGACTTGACTATTTCCACCTGGCAGGATAGAATGCAGCCATATTATTAGATAATGAAAACATTCATTTGCTGTTATCAAATTCTTCATAGAAGCTAAACACATTAGACAGTGTATGCAGACAATACTGCTATAAACCCAGACCTATGGAAGAACTATTGCCATTATGATCTTATTCTTATCACACAACTTTGGTACTTTAGTGCTTTGGAAAAAGCTGGTGCTTTGTGTATTCATTAAATGACTGTATGGTCTGCAAATGTTCCTTATCATGTTTCAGAAATACATAGACAAAATTATTCTTATGATATACAACAGGAGAAAGCTTCATTGTAAACTGTGGGTGAGGTTTCCTGTGGAATCTCCTCAGGTTTAAATGTTGGAAGTCGCATCATTGCCTACTTAATTTGTTTGTGTTTAGTTCATGGATTACAATAAGTGCTTCCATTTTTAAGCATATTTCTTTTTGCTGCTTATAGTAGTATGGCTCTGGCTAGATGCCAAGTGCCCAGCAAAGTTGCTCTGTCACTCCCCCTGATGTGTCATGAAGGTGAAGAAGGAGGAGACAAAGGTGACACAATCAGCATGACAGTGCAGTGGCAGACCTGAACCTCTGGCCGAGATCTTGTTGTTCCCATCTGCAGTAAGGGAAAGAGGCTGTTGGATTTCCTGCCCTGGGATTTCTATTTCATTTTTTATGTTCTGTGTTTGTAGTCCATTAAGTAATTTTTTTCCAACAGAGAATTCTTCAGCATTCTTTTTGTTTCATTAGGTTGCCAAAACCTTCTTAGAGACCCAATCCACGGTGCAGACACCTCCCTTCATCTTCCCCTTCTTCTCCAGGCTAATTGCAATGGGTCTTGAGAATTTTGAATAGCCTTGGGATGTTGAAACCAGCATGTTTGTATTACTATGTCTCCTGACTGTTTTCTGGGTCTTGTTTAAGATTAAACAACTATTTAAGAATACCAACCAGTGATCTGCCTTGAGGCCGGATAATTATGAGTGGCAGGGTGTGTGGGCAAGTACCTAGGAGACTGGGCACTTCCAGTGTTTTGGAACTTCACCCCTGAACAAGTGCAGAATCCAGAAAAACTAGTAAAATATTTGGAAAAGGTGTGCTGTCACCCTGGCAATTTCAGAGAGACAAAAATCACCGCTTAGTGCAGGGGCCTGGGCCAAGCCTTCCAAGCCCTGTTCAACAATATTCTGTACCCACAAGGGGAAAAGGTCTTTGGATCTGACAACAAAACAACGGGCTACTCCAACCCCTCTGACAAGCACTGCAACTGAACCGGAGAACCAATCTGTGTCTCTATACACAAGAAGAAATAGACACCAAACCCCTCTCTTTTAGGAGACTAAGGAGGACTAAGCAGAGCCACCACAGGAATATGAGGAAGAAGCAGAACAACTTGATCCCTATTCCTCTGTGAGCTGCAGGATATGCAAAATATTTTAGCTGTCAATCAGGTGAGCAGATTATTACTGGCTGCTCTGTTGATAGGATGATGTGGCTAGTAGATTGGAATTAGAGAGTAGGGAAGCCAAGCAGCTGAGATCACTTGCTAGGGAAGAGGGCATTGGCAAGACAATTTGAAAAGTCCTCAGCCTCTGGAGTCGACTTCTCTCAAGAGTGAAGTTGTTATATGTCTCCCAGGAAAATGGACTACCATGGAGAGAGGTATGCAGTACCTGAGGGAATTAGCCATGCTAAAGATGATTTATTATGACCTGAACCATGCACAATCACCCACAGATCCAGATGAAGTCCAGTTCACATGTCCCATGTGGTGGAATCTGTGTGTATATAGCAAAAGACAGGAAAAGTGATGGTATGTTGGAAAGTGTAGGACCTGGGCATGATGTAAATGGCACAGAATAAGGGGTGGATACTTTCCTGGTTTCAGCTGGGATAGGGTTAGTTTTCTTCCTACTAGCTGGTACAGTGCTGGGGTTTGCATTTAGTATGAGAATAACGTTGATAACATGCTGATGCTTTAGTTGTTGCTAAGAAATGTTTACCCTAAGTCAAGGACTTTTCAGTTTCCCATGCTCTGCCAACAAGGAGGTGAACAAGAAGCCTGAAGGGAGCATGGCCAGGATAGTGCTATTTAGCTTAAAGTGTATAGGGATACAGCTGCTGGAAGTTTCATTGAAGGAGCTTTTTAAAGTCCCGAGGAAGCTGGAGTGTGGCTGGCAGAGGAACTTACTTTACTAGGTCTTTTAACCTTCTTTATACCCTCTTGTGAAAGATTCCCTTTTCAAATCGTGGTGGGATTTTGATGGCTTGGAGAATTCTCCGCTTCCCCATCTGCCCTTCAAAAAACCCTAATTAAGCTGCAAAGGCTTAAGGCCTGACACTAAGATGGCACAGTCTCCATGTTTTTGACAGATAAACACAGAGAAATGCGAAATTATGAGAATTGTGGGTGAGGTCCTGTCTCTGAAGAGCTGTTTCATTGCCTCCTGCTGACAGAATACTGAGGAGGGAGAGGCAAGGAGACCTTTCTGACTGTAGATACTTCTTTGCAGAGTGCCTGTTGGAAGTGCTGCTGCAGTGGATTGTGGTGGAAGGGTCAAAAAATGCTCGTCAGCTGCTGCTGGAAGGGAATGGGCAACAACAGAAAGATAAGTGAGTAGAGAAAGGCAGGGGACAGGAAAAGAGCACATCTGGAAGGAGAGAGATAGAAATAAAGTTGTAACTGCAAATCACAGTGACAGAATTTTAACATGAAAGGGTAGAAGTGAGGGAGTACTTATTATTTTCCAAGATAACATTTGGAAGGATTGAAACAATCATTTATACAGTTTTCTATATATACACCCCTCACTATACTTTACAAAACCCCCAAAATTCTTAAAATAATGCAATCTGAAATATCAATAAAAATAAAAAAAATAATAAAATGAAGCTTCCTTGAAAAATGGTCAACTTGACTGAATTTTTTTCCAGAATTGCTGATCAAAAAACCTTGAATCGTCTTCTTACTGTATTCCCTGGTTTTGCCTACAGCAGTGCAGGAGAATTCCCAATTTATTGTCAATGCTAGTGTTTCCTAAATCTACTCTTATGCTTATTAATTGAATTTCAGAGACCAATTAAAATTTTCCCTACTATTGAATTTCAGTGTTCCTAACTTAATTTTTCCTTGATATTTGTGTAATAATCTCTTGTATTTCTCAAAATGATTCTGCTAATGAACGAGTGTAGAGTTTTCGCATTTTAAATATTTATTGTAGATGTAATTGTAACTTGATGTCATTTAGCTGGCACTATACATGTATTTCTCTTTTCATATTTCTTTTAGTTTAGTCTCCCCTTATTGTTTTTGTAGCTTTTCTTTGAACTTAATCCAATTTGTCTATGTTTTTCTGGTAATTAAGTGCTGATAGCAGAAGAGCATTCACCTGTTATGTGAAGAATCATCTCCTTTTATTTCTTTGAACCTGTCTTTTACTAGCTTTTATTAATGACTCCTACTTCTTCTGTTTGGAAAACCAGCAAGCACTTGATTTCTAGCCACCTTCCCACAGGTCGTGTGATCATTTTGCATTTTGTAATCCCTTTACAGTTCATCTATTTTTACTTCCAAAATTAATTGCCTTGTTATTTTTGTGTGGGGAATAAGTTAGATTTGTTCCACTAGTTGTTTCTGGAGCAGTATAGTTTTCTTTCTTCAACAATAAAACTGTCTCTGTTTTTCTCTAAACTTCTATTTTTTTAATTATAAATTCTTTGCCTAATAACATTGGCAGTTGTTAATTCTTGCCCCTCATCTATGATATGCACAGAGTTGATCTGTTAAAATAATGATAGTGTGTCAAAGTGAAGATCTTAAAGGAAAAACAGAGTTACAGTTGCCTGGGCAATATTTTGAGACCTCCCTCACTTGTATGATGATTACACTTTTTTTTTTTTTCTTTTACATAGAATTCTGTCTCACTAAATGCAAGAATGGATAACACCAAGCCCCAAAAATTTCCACATCTCTTCCTTATTCTTTAGTGTATCATCCTTATTTTAAAGACAAGGAAAAATATCTGAGAAAGAACTTTTTATGAGATGACATAACAGACTTTTGCTGACAATTAGGACAATGTCTGTCTGTGAGGAAACTCCTAGCACTGCTCCAGTCTTCAGAGCTGGCCAGAAGCATGCCTAGGAATGCACACTTTGGAGTGACTGTGCTATAGAAGAGAGCAGTCATATCACACCCCTGAATGATAGCACTTCAAGTAAGAAACACCAAAACTGAGGACTGCAAAATGTTTCTCTCTTGCAGGCAGGCGGGGGAATCTAGACATTTCTGTGAAATCTATGGAAGAGTCAGGAATGGAAGTGAGTTCACCTGACTTGAATTTCTGCTTCCTAAACTGCACATCTGTTCTCACCCTGAAGTCCTTCTGCCACCCTACTGTAATGTGTGAAGCCATGTAGAAAATGAGGCAGGGACAGAATCAAGACTATTAATTGGCCTAGTCTATGGGTAGATAGACTTCTTTCTGTGAGCTGCGTCAGACCAGGGGAATATCAGAAAAATAAGCGTTTGAATGTACAATTTAAACCAAATTGTTCTCCTTTTGGATGGTGGACATTACTCTTGCTTAGGCAAGAGTCCTAATTCTGGACATTTGAAGCTTTGAGTTCTAGATCCCCAAAAATTATTTTTCAAATGTTAGTTTAGGGAAAGAAGGAAGGAAACAAGCAAAATGCATCAGTTCATTAGAATACGGAAGTTGGACTTCTTATTGCTTTTATGTACAATCTAATACTGGTTTATGAAAATTTATTTAGTCAAACAAAGGTTAATTGCTTCAGATTGTCCCTACTACTCTTTGTAGGCCAAGCAATGGAAGATGATGTGACCCGTAACACACTGAGACCCTGTGATAGACAATATACGAACCCAGTAAGTTTTATTGCATTGATTTTAAGAGTATCCTGAGGATGTCTACAAAACCAGTGCTGGTGTCTGTTGGCAATGAGCATGCAAGGGAGGCTTGAGGTGAGGCCAGCTGGTGTCATGCATGATGTGCAGATCTGACATTCTGTGTGTGTAGAGCTGTCATGTTGGACTGGCAACATGTGATTGCTTTCTTTATGTTCTTTCTTTCTTAGTGTATCTAAGTAATGCTATCTTTCAGCCTGCTTAATACATTTTTACCACTTAAAAAAAACAAACCCTTTCTGCTTCCTATCAAGAGGAACATTTATTGCGATTAGGACATTGTTATGACATGAGACAAGTTTTGTTATTTTCTTTTCCCTCTTTCATTTCTCTTGCTGCCCTTCTGTGGTGTTTGTATGCTCGGTCTGTGCTTGGCTTTACATGTACTTACACATCACTTTTACAGCACTGCTCCCTCTTGCCTATAAACCAGTGCCTGCTAAGTGAATCCCCTCTTGCCTGCCTTCCCTGAGTGCCTGTAGAGCTGTGTTCAAACTGCTGGAAGGAGCTGCGCTGCAAAAGGAACAGGGAAGGATGAAACCAGTCAGTAGGTGGGTATCAGCCAATGCAACAATCAAGGAGCTGGTCTATGTAAGTCATGTAGTTTTTTTTTTTAGTATTTTTTTAACAAAAAAGCAGACACCATAATAGCAGAATGGACAAATTTGTACATAAACCTGGCTTAGTTCCAGTTATAGAGTGATTCCCTGAAGTGGTACGGATTTGCTTCATTTCACAGTGGATTATTCTATAATAGCCCAAGTTTTATCAAATGTGAGACAAGAACCTTAAAGCTTTACTGTCAGTGAAAGATTATAAAGGTTCTGGGCAAAGGGATAAAAATTAGCAAGTGATTTGAAAGCATTTAGAAATCAGATGTTGAGGCCTAGTCTCTTACACAGTAGTTGGACAAAGAAACAAAACCTGCAACTACTGAAGACTATCGTAAATGTTCTGTGATAGGATTTGAAGTAATTTAAGGAAGTATGTGATAAAGATTATTCCTTCCAGGTCATAGCCATAAAAAAATGCCAGGAAAACTGAGGAAATTTTGTGTTCAATGACATTTGTAAAAACAAACAAACAAACAAACAAACAAACAAGATTCTTTCTCTATTTTGTGAACTTTTTGTTAACAAGTATTTGTGAACTCTGTGGGTTTCTGCAGATTTTTTTTTTTTTTAGCAATGTAGATTTTGGGCATACTTAATAGTTCCACTAATGTGTTTATTTAATTTTTCATTAGTCATGGTTCTGCTGCAACAAAAGAACTTGATCTTTTGGCATCCATTAATATTTTTGCTTTGATCCTGTAACCAAATGATGCTCGCCACAAAATTCTTCTAATTTAGTCATCATTTCACTTGGTATACTTATTATTCATTTTGGTTTTGGCATTCACAGCATGGAAACTTAACCCAAATAACCAATAATATCTTTGCAATAGTGTCAAGCAATATTTGGCAATTATTTCGCTGTATGTTTCAGAAGGGTGTTTGACACTGACCCAATTGCATCTGGGAACAACTGTGAGTTTATGAAACCAAGCATGGAATTATAAACTAAGCAGCTAGTCATCTCTGGCAGGAACATAGCAATTATAGTCATTCAATAATATGTGGTTTCAACTGGAAATCAATATGTAACAGGTACGGGGTGAATAGGAGGCCAAATAATTCCTACCAAAGAGTCTAAGAGGGTGGTTAGGCAAGACTTTCTGTTTTCAGATTTATATTTCATCTTAATTTTGTTTCACCTTAGTGTACTTAACAGGATTTTACAGCATCCTTGAAGTCATTCAGCCTGCTGTGGAATAAAAAAAAAAAAAAAGTTAATTGATGTGTGTTCCTCTATTTGAGGCCACTGGTATACTGTGTGATTGCGAAGGGAGAGAAAGAGTTATATACAATTTGAGTTTTATGTAATAAGGAACTTTTAAAATAAATTTTTCATCTTTGTCTTGCTCTGTGAAGAAAAGAGATTATTCCAAAACATAGGCATCCCGGAAGTACAGGTGAGTCTAATAGTTAGGGTAAGAAAACAATGAATTTGTTTAGGAAAAGAATAGTTGATACTACCTGACTGAGGCCAGAATCTAGGAAAAAATTTATGAAGTAATGTAATATTAATCTTGATAGGAGGTCTGTAGTGGTTAATTGATGTGTAAGAATTAGCAATGTTTGGGACAGAGTCGATTCAAGGTATTTGATAAGGAGCAATGTCAATTAGCTCAGGGTTTTAGTCTGGTTAGACTGGATTTAAAATCTTTAAATTGACATGTAAACTAGTCCTAAAATGAAACAAGAATTTAAGAACCAGGTAATATTATCAATTTTTTTAACTTACGGGGAGAATGAATATGACAGAAAAGGTTATTTGCTGAAAAGATTCATAATATCAACACAGAACTGAAAAGATTCATGATATCAACATCAACTAGATGATGGTTTTAGTGTCATTAGTATGGTGGTAGGTGATGGTGTTATTGTTATCATCTTCATCATCATCATCATCATCATCCTTTCTTCCAGCTCCTAGTGATTAAGCATAGTGGAATAGGTACATAATTAAATCTCAGTGGCATTTTCCCGTGGATAAATATACTTGAAGTTTTATTTCACATAGGATTGTCCCAAATCTGCCAAGATGTAAGTCATTGGGTAATTTTCTGTTTCCCATTGAATTCTATGATAACCTGGGAAGAAATTGACTGGGTTGTGTTCTTTTCACATCACTAAAACTCAGAAATGGAGTGGCAGTTCCACAAAATAAAAATACAACTTGAATATGAAAGAAACTTCCTGAAAAATCTGAAAAACAATTTATCAGAAATTAAGTATCAGATACTGCACAAGTCCAGGTCTGTTTCAGATTCAAGAGGAGTTCAATTTTAACAGGATCATTCCAGACATGAAACTAAGCACATTCTATGAATTATTGGTTAGTTTAAGATAACATATACAATAAACCTTTATGTCTGTCCAAATATATTTAAAATCAATTAAAATAGCTGTTATTAAAAAGTTTGCAGAATGAGTGGGCCTTTCTGATTTGCATTGTAGAGGAAAAAGCTATCATATTACCCAATAAAACACTTAGCAACCATAATTGCTACTGATTGCCCTAAGCCCTCTATTTTACTTGGCAAAAAGAAACATGGAGTGTTGTTGCACTTTCCCTTGCTCCTGAGCCTCCACAAGAATGTCTAGCTAAGGTGGCTAGATGATGTTTTGGCATAGAAAGCATTGGATTTTCTCCTGCCAAATCCAGATATTTCATGTATGCAGGTGAAATGTTGCTTTCACTGGATTTTGGGATATCCTTCTCAGCCTCCTATCAACCACATATATTAGGGAAATGGGAAGAACTTGAAATGTCATTCTCAACACGTGCAGATATTTATTTGTGCCCCAACCCCGCTTATTGGTTTTCTGGCTTGCAATATGAAAGACAGTACTTTAATATGACCTTTAACTTGACATTCAAAAATTGCAGCCTCTGCTTTCTTATCAATGAATCCTAAAGAGAAATTATGAACAAGTTAAAATCTATTTCTCTCCAAGCATTCATTCATGCAGGAGGGATGGATAAACAACTTTCACTGATAATGTGAATCACACAATATATTAGTTAAAATGAATTAGTAAAAAAAAAAGTTCTAGGTTTTTTATTCTTAGCTGCCATTCTTTGTCATAAATAAGCACTTCTGACATATACTTAGAACCACTTAAGTCTTGCCTTTTCCTCAGCTCAAGAACTTGCCTTTGAATGTGGAGAAAATGCAATAGTTAGAAACTTCCTAGGAGGGCAAGTTACTTCAAATTAATTTTGCCCAGCCTATATGAAAGCTAAAATTCTTTCAGTAAAATCTACTGGTTTTTATTTAAATTTCAGACACTGAATCCCTCTCCATTTCCTCCTTAAATTTTCTATGATTGTTTTGTTTTCTCCTTCATGCTTGGTGAGGCTCAGAGTGAATGCAGTATTCAGCTATTCTGACATCCAAACATTTCAAACAGTATGTCTGTGCTCAGAAAGTCTGATTTTTCAGTGAAGTGTATTTGTTCTTTTATTGATACCTTGTTTAATATTGTCCTACCATTCAAATTCAAGTTGATGAATATTCAGAAAATATTTGCACAGAAACACTTCCATTTTTATCCTGTCCTGGTGGGGGAATCCTTGCATTAAGCAAATCTATTTTCTTTCAACCCTCCTCCAGTCTGCTGAAAGTCAATGGGCTCATGATGTTGCAGGGACTGCTTTTCTTGCTGCCAGTCTGAGAAAAAGTTCATCTTCAAAAGCATTCTCCTGTCTGCAGTTACTTGCACATGGTGTCACCTCTCTTTCTCCCTGAGCTGAGAGACTTTTCAGAAAAGAGATCCATGTTGACCACTTACCAGTCTCTGGTAAATGCCCAGTACTGAGACATGGTCAGGCTCTGTTCAGACTGCTTGCTTGAATGTTGTGGCTGGCCTAACTTGCAGAAGGAGGTTTTTGAATGTATTTGAGAATCCAGAGAGATCTTGGAGCTTGGTGTGTGGAATTTAATAGTTGCTGTTCTAATTAAAATTGCTGCATCAAAAACCTCTTTGTGAGCAAGCATAGTTGTCTGATGAATGCTGACCTGAGGTGCTTCTTTTGTGAAAATTTTTTCATGCAATACCTGAAATAAAAGTTTATAGTCAAAAGGCATTTATTACAGATGTTTGTAATTGGGCTCAGTACAAAAAAAATATTAAATTGCCACATTTTGAATGTAAAGATTTGGAAAAACCAAGGTAAACTCCTAAATGAGGTGGATTGATATATTCCCCAAGGCAATGCCTGAATTGTGTTGGTTCCACTATGGTAACTTTTGTTATTTTTACATGCTACTCAAAATATTTTGTAAGAAGATTTTCCCCAGCGTATTTCTATAGAAGCATCAGTCGTCTGGAAAGTTACATGTGAGCTTCTTTCGATAAGTACTTTTGATAGGTATTTATCATAACTCTAGGGACATTTATCATACCTTTGGGACAAGATTTTTTTCCAAAAAATGGAAGAGAAACACGCCATTTTTAAATGAGAGGTGTTAAAAATCAAAGCAATTAGCTATGATAATCAGGCATCTAATTCACTTCTTTTATATACATAATTTATGTAATCTTCAAGAACAGTTTTTCTTAGATGCAGAACTGCTGTTATAAAGAAAATATTTGTCTATGACATGTAAGCTTGACAGACAGAAGAGCTAAAAATGTCCCCTGTGTTGTGTTAAAAAACTTGGGCAATACTTGGAAAGATGTATGCTTGCAAAACAATTGCTTCTGGTCTATGAACAGTGCAGTTGCCAGCCTGTTCCCAGGTCAGCTCATTGACTTATGCAGACCTTTGGATGGTCCTGAGCAACTTGTTTACTTAGGGAAGATGATATTGGTGGAGAAGAGATTATAGCAAATGTCTTTGTCTCTCAGAAACTTCAATAAACCTAAAGTTCCCCAAATGTCAAATAACTAAATTATATATTACTTATAACTCATAGCCTCCTTGCCTTCTTATTCCCATTTCCTTATTTTTTTTTTCATTTCAAGAAATGTTAAATTGCCTGACAATTATTAACTGACACTTTGGAAATATTTCTACAAGAGTACCTGTGTTACATAGTCTAGTAATAATAATCAAAAAGATGACTCTTGTACCCAGAGGTGGAGAAATGTTATAGAGAAATGATACTCTTCTTGCTGAATAATGGGATTTTACAAAAAAATAAGATATTGAAATTTATAGCAAAATTCTTATATCTGCCAAGAGGACTGAGATTTCATGAGCTTTTAAAATTTTTTTTTAATAACCAACAAGAAATTTTGGAATGGTAAAAATGATAATTACTTTTATAACATTGGAACCTCAGGTAGCAATTCTAGTTGAATGAACTGCTTAAAAGAAGTTATTTTTTAACTTGATTTCAAGATTTTTGGAAGAGACTGATGCTGTGGCATTAGCTGTCCCTCTGCTACTTTGACACTAATATCTTTTGAATTCCTTGGTCAAATTCAACCAAATCGGAGTTGCCTGTAAGAGTTCCAGTTTGCTTTATGTCCCTTCAAGTCATGTAAAAAATTAGAGGCTGCATGGAAGAAGAAGACTCAAATTAGCATGCTGCTGAGGAAAGGATAGGCAGAAAGCAAACAATATGTTTTACTAGGCAGCAGTGAGCTAAGTCTAACTTTGGACTATGCACATTGCATTTGCTCTCTTGCCTGGTTGGGGTGGCATGATGAGAAGTGATGGTGTCAAGTAGGTTTATGGGATGAAGGGAACCATCTTTCATCAGTTCTACTACTCACAGAGGAGCTCATTTGACTGGCATTGCTACAGCTGCCTTAGCTCAAAAAGAGAAGATTTTGAAAACCAATATCATATGCTTTATTAAACTCAAGTCTCAAATAAGGCTATATATAATCATTTTAATTTCTGAGGCTTCACAAGTAATCCTACTTAAATATATAGAGAAGATTTATCATAAGATGTTAGTGCCATTTTTCTTGATTATCACTTACCGAGGCTTCAAAGTACTCACTTCAAAGTGCTTAAAAGCCAAATGTGGTTTTTCTCCTTGCCACAGCATCCAGTAACCTAATAAAATACAGATTATACTGATTTACTGTGAAGTACAAGGGATAACTGAAATATTAAGATTGGTTTTACATGTCTACCCCATAGGTTTGTGAGTTATTCCAGTACTACAGGCAGTATAGATAATTTTCTATTACAGGTACAGAAGATTCATGGTTTTTAAAAATTATATTTTGCTTTTGTATGACAAAGGGAAAGGGAGCTTTGCCTTCAAACTTGAAGCCACAGGGTCTCACACTCATTTGGTATTTCTGCTAGAGGAATCCCTCTAAAGACAAAGTCACTGGAGAAGCACTGTCCTGAATGGCTTTTGGTCGGTGGCCATAAGGATGCTGCATAGCTGTCTTTTGCTCTCAGAACATAATGCTGTCTTGCAGGCAATCTACAAATGACAGCTGACCACTCTGGTTATGCCTGGTGTACCAGCAGGCTGCCTTAGGCCACTCTAAACTCCTGGCCATTCTTGGATGCATGCCTGGTGTCCACCTTTCACTTCCTCTGTAGGGACAGAGACTTTTCGAGGCACCCTTCAAAAGTCAATCTAGACCCGTTCTTTGGCTTGTCAGCACACTTTAGGTCACCACTGAAGCTGTGAATTTCACTGAGAAAGTTTCAGTAGCAAATAATTTTCCTTTAGGTGAGAACCTAAAGCCCATGGAGGGCTGTGAAAGGAAAAGTAGAGTCATTTCATTGTAGTGTAACCTGACAGTCAGCATGATGGGTGCTGAATGACTTGTGTGGCTGAAAGAGTTGGGCTGATGCACTTTGAACTCACTGAAGGAAGTCAAGCATCAGTTAAAAATGGCAAAACTGTCTTGCAATGGCCAAACCTGTAAGATATGCTTAAAAAAAACCCCATGGCTATGCCATAACATGTAAAAATGATAAGTTTAGTGGTGTCTCTATTTGCAGTTAAAAACTATTGAGATAATCCTAAAGTCAAAACACCACTACAGGTAACTCAGCCTTCAAGATTTTTGTTCTCAGCTTCACGTTTTCCCCCTTGTTAGGATTAGGTCCATCTTGGCAAAGTGCTGGAGCAGCTGTACTATAGGATTAATTGTGCTACCCCTAAAAGATGCTCTGTATTCCACCAGCATTTTCAGGTAGCTGTTCAGTGAGGATGGGAGGAAGAGTGGATCTGCAAGGATGTGAATAGAAATGACAGCAGAAACCTATGAGACCAGTCTGCAATTCATGTTTGGATACTCTTCTGAGTAATGACTCTCTGTGTAGGAGGAAAGGAAGATAGGGCACAACAGAGCTGATAGATCCCTAAATTGACTAGTTGGTATGACAGCTGCTCATGATGCCTGGCAGATCTGTATGTACCAGCAATGGACTAGTCATGGAGTATATACTTCACTATATATTACAATTTTGAATACCTCTGTGAGACATTATTTTTGTTATTTCTTTTATGGACCTCTTGCATCTCAATGGCCTGGAAAAATAAAAAGTCTTCTCCACTCGCAATGGGAGGAATGGGTGAATGATGAAGACACCATGCAGTCCAGACCATTTTTCCAAAGAAAATGATGCATAGACAAGTTAAGTAATCTCTAATGCAGGTATCTGTGCAACATTTGGAATGAAGCTCAGGTATGAGTCACTATCATTACTAGGTATTTTATACAGCACATTTACAGGTTCACTGTAGGATGTTACTTATGAAGTATAACGGATAGAAATTTCGCGGTGTTTAATACTTGATCACTGGTGGTTTGGAAGGCCATGGTAAGTTTTCTGGAGCACATCTGCTGAACTGCATGGACATATAATGTTTATTAACTAACCAGTGCTGTATGGTAGATGTTGTAGTCTACCATCAGCGTCTTGTCCTGCAATGTTTCTTGCTGTGTGACCTCACATGACCACTAACTCTCCAGCATGTGACAAGTCCCACATGGATGATCCACAAGATTCCAGGAGTGGTTCAGTGCTCCAGAGAAGTTTGGGAACTTTGATTTATCCCATAGATAGAAGAGGATTATCAAAGTTTTCTACTGTTTTACTCTCCTGTTAGTTGCTGACGATGTTTGTGAAAGAATAGGATCACTGTCTTTTCTGTGCGATCAAATGCTTCTGCAGCCGGAGACAACGCTAAAGGGAGGAGAAGAATGAAACAACAGTCCCTTTTTTTTCTTTTCCTTTTTATTAGCAATGTATCTTTATTCTCATTGCATTTTTGAACTTCATAAAGAAAGCTGGGATTAGATCTGTGAAAAAATTCCACAACTTTCTTCCTTTTTCTGCAAAGTTAAGGTTGCATCCATACTCAGAAGAGTGCAAAACTTGAGGGATTAGTTATATCTCATGGTATTATTTTCTAGTTTTATGATACTTTCTTCCCCTTGGTAATGTTGAGAAATTTATATTAAACTTAAGGAAATAATAAGTGTTTCGCTGTATATTTAATGGACAAGACATGTTAATCCTTGATATGTGGTAACACGTTTCCTTCTTTCTAATCAACAAGTTTGCATTGCCTTGTTCTGCCATGTGGAGTGAATAATATGATGTCAACCATGGAAAATCAAAATATACTCACGTCTAGGTGTTTGTAAATCTTCAAAACCAAGGATACTGTAACAATAAGGCAAATAGCCCGAAACTTGTGGACCAAAACACTTCTTCAGATGGTTTTCTCCTGCAAAGCCCTTTTCCTCTCATACTTTCTGTACTATACCAAGGGCAAGTCAGCAATATGGAAACTGCTTGTGTCAGCTAACAGGAGGGAATGTGAGGGAATATAAGGGACTGGGCACGAGAATGTTTGTTGCTAATTGTCTTGAGCTATTGCTCTGAAACTGCCTGGCTGGCAGGAGCAGCAGCCTTAAAATGCAGGAGATAGTTTTCACAGAGTCACAGAATAGTTGATGTTGGAAAGAGCCAGTGGAGACTGTCTGGTTCAACCACCCTGCTCAAAGCATGGTCACCTATAGCAGGTTGCTCGAAACTGTGTCTAGTCAGGTTTTGAATATTTCCAAGGGTTTAGTTTCCCCAAGTGACCTGGGCAATCTGTTCCAGTGTTCTATCACCCTTGGAGTATAAAAGCTTTTTCATATGTTTAAAATTAATTTCCTGAATTTTAGACTGTATTCCTTTCCTCTTGGCATCACTGATGAGAGTTTGACTCTGTCTTCTTTACTGCCTCCCATCAGGCATTTATACACATTGCTAAGATGTGCCCCCTATCCCCCCAGACTTTTATTCTATAGGTAAAACCAATTACTGCTCTCCCAGCCTGACTTGTTATGTCAGACACTGCAAATCCTTAACCATGTTCATGGTCCTTTGTTGGACTTAATCCAATATCTCCATGCCTGTCTTACACAGCACTCCAGATCTGGTCTCATCAGAGCTGAGCAGTGCAGAATATTCACCTCCATTGACCTGCTGGAGATGCTCTTCCTAATGCAGCAGGGTGGTGCTGGCTGCCTTTTCTGCAAGTGTGACTTGCTGGCTCATTTTCCAATTGTCAGCCAGGACCTCCAGGTTCTTTTTTGCAAAGCTTTTCTAGCCAGTCAGCATGTACTGGTAGGTGCAGAGCTTTGCATTTCACTTTGTTGTATTTCCTAACATTTGTGTTGGCACATTTCTCCAGCCTGTTAAGATCTCTCTGAATGGCAGCACTCTCACTGGACCTATCATGCATTCCTGCAGTTTTATATCATTTTATATCAACAAACATGATAAGAGTGCACTCTGTCTTATCACCTAGGTCATTACTGAAGATGCTACACAGTACTGGACCCTGTATTTATCTGCCAGTCACTGATGGTGACTGGCATCCATCTGGACCTCACAAAAATCAGCAGATGACAACCCTTTAAGTCCAGCATTTCATTCATTTATCTGAAATGTTCTAGTAGCAGAAATTTGGTAAAATACTAGAATGTAGGAATATATATGGTTAAGTACATTGCAGTTAGCCATCCTCCTCTTGCAATCTGTGTATGAACAGCTAAAAAGCAGGTACAGACCTCTGTGTGGCATGTTTACTTGTGCTTTATGTATGTGAACATTTCAAGTGGTATGCATTTGCATTTTCAAAAATGCCTTGCCAGTTACCACGAGATTCCAAGGGCTGCTGCCATATTTCCAAAGAATCGTAATCTCCTGGAAAAGTACCAGTTGTGTTGAGATGCGGAGTCAAAACCTTGCAAGACATTTGTGCTGGCCACATTCCAATTATTTAGAGAAAAAGAGCTGTTACCCATTTATAATTGCTGATAACCTGAGAATATATCACATGCATGACAGAACTAGTACAGGATTTCCAAGGAATGGGAAAATCTCTGCCTTGAGGTGCTATTCTTTATCTGGAAAGAGATCACAAGAGTCCTGAACATGAAATCCTTATCATGGTGGTGAAATATTCTCAAATTATTAGAATCCAGTGGAAGCAGAGTGAAATCAATGCTGAACACTTCTCATAGGCCTACTTAAAATATTCAAGTCTGTATTTGCAGTGCAAAGTTGTCTCTTCTCCATATGAAAATTCCCCTTCCTTTAAGAAATGCCCAAATGTCAAGCTCTTTTTGAGTTTTCTGCCTTATGTATTCAAACAGTTGCTTCAAAGCCATTATGCTATTGGTTAAGTGGTGTCTAATCCATGTGAGTGGTTGGTGGCTCTGCTTAGGTCTATTTGTGTATTTCCTTGAACACAAAGGTTTGAAAAGTCTCATATAGACTATATTGTTCACTGTCTTGGCAATGGATCTGTGACAGGATGTGCACTGATTAAAAGAAAGGTGAATTTTATGCTTGAAAACTATCAGCTTTATGCTTTTGAATTACAAGTGGAAGTTAGGCTTAATAATCAATTAGGCTGAAGCTCAGTGATGGATGGTGCTTTATTTTTACTCTGCTGCTATGATGTTTAGCTCCTTTATAAAAAGAGAGTGATAGAGTCAAGCAGAGATCTCTGGAGGAAGGGGCAAATCACTCCTGGAGATCATCTGAGTGTGTAAGAAGAGAAAAAAGCTTTGATACACGTTGGTCAGGCAGAGAAGGGATGTCTGAGACTGAAAGCTGTCTGAGGAGCTAGGAAATGGCTAAGGAGAGCAGGGAGCAAACACACAACTAGGCCTGAGTGATTCTCAGTATCAGGAGGGCACTACATAGAGTTGAGCTGCAACCTCAAGAAAATAGGTTGTTAAATTGCTAAAGGGAAGGATGTACTTCAGGAGAATAAGCAGAGGACCTTGTGTTGCAAACCATTTAAAGATTTCATTTCTGCCTTACCTAATCATTTGATTTATATTTATTATAAAATGTTAACTCTCCTTGTTTGCACCTTAATAGAACCTGACTTTTCACGTGAAAAGTTCTTCCATTTTTGGGGGGAAAGGGAAGTCCATCCTGCAACTTTAAGCAAATGTGCCTCACAGTTCCTATTCAATTTGAAATTTAGTCCTTGACTCACCTGAAAAAGTGATTTTCAGAAACTGCTTCTAACTTTTATTTTTCTAATGACATATAGACTGCATCATCACAGTACAGGTTTAAATTTGAGACAATAATAGAATACAAAATCTGTTTGGTTTGTTTTATGTGTGGTTTTTTTTTTTTTGGTTGATTGGTTGTTTTGGTGTTTTGTGTTTTTTTTTTTTTTAGTGTTGTATTAGGTATGCAGGCTAGATATAGACCAGATGTCAAACTTCCTGAGAATAGTTCCCCTTTTGGGAAGATGACCGCCTTTTCTGTCTTTTAAAGGAGATTTCTTATTTCATTAGTTTGTCACATGAATCAAACATTTGTGGAGGGATGCTAAAACATATACTGTTGATTAAACCTTTTTCTCAGTGTGGAACTCATCCTGAAGAAATACTGGTACTATGTAGAACCATTCATATATGACAAAAAATCTGAAACATGCTCTCTTCCAAGATTTATGCACAAGTAAAGTAGTACTTCTTGGTAGATTTAGAACTTTATGTACATGCTAATACTATTTCTTCTTTCATGTGAGGAAAAAAATTAAACAATTAGGTTGGAAAGAGTATATGTTGTTTCTCTGGCCACAATCTCAAATTGTGAAAATATCAGTGTTTCTGGTAACTGTTCATTAGCACAACTTTGAAATGGCAAAAAAACTCTGTTTACAGATTAATTAAAAAAAGAAGCAATGAAACTGCATTAGGAGTAGTTGCAAATGGGAAAAGCACAGTGCATTCAAATGATTTGTCTTTTGAAAACATACACATTTATGCTCGTATAGCTAACACTGATTTTCCAGAAACACTAGTAGGTTCCTGATTCCCTAACATAGCAAGGTGTGCTGTACATAACTAATTACTCAGATTAAAAAAAAATGCAATGATGTTTATAATCACCTTTCTTCAATAATCAAAAGAGTTTCAGAGATGCAGGAGATATTTCATTTGATCAGCCTTGAATATTTGGAACTATTGAAGCATAACTCCACAAGAATATAATCTCCACTATTAATTTAAGATAAATGTGTTAACTGTGCAGTTGAAGGGATCTCGAAAAATTTCCTCAATATTAGAACTTAGCTTTCTATAGGAGG